CCGCCTAACAGCTGTTTGGCGGCGCTTTGGACTTTCCGGGAGGGAGGGGGAAGAGCGGAGACACGGCGTGCTTAGGGGAGGAGGTGGAGAAGAAGTGGGGCAGGGGCAGAGACTTGGGCGAAGGGGGTGGGATGGGGGCAGGGACTTTGGGGAAGGGGTGGCATGGGGGCAGGGCAAGGGCGGTGCAGGGGTGGGCGGGGAGGTCGAGAACCCACCAGGCAAAGGGGAGGTCGACACCTATGTTAGGAGGATAAATATATTAACGATTGTGAGTCTCAGGTACTACATGATAAGGGCCATATAAGTACTATAGACCAGCCTGAAGTCACCCCAGCAAAACTCCCAAACCCACTACAATTTTTCAAGACTGCAGTAAAAGGGCTAGCAACACACATTTCCAGAATCTGTTTAAGTCGTAATCTTAAAGCATCTCCCATCAGCTTGCTCAATTACAAAGCTAATAAGAAAGAATGATAGCTTACCCAACAGTGACAGTGGTTCTAAGAGAGGTGTTGTCCACATTGATTCCACCTCTATTGAGCCATTGCATGCAAGATTGGAATCTTTTGGCCTGCAGTGTTCACTGGTGCCAGACCTTGGATGTGCTCATGCCTCCTCTCCCCTTCACATCCAAGAACATAAAGGGCAGAGGCTGGCCCAACCGTCCCTCAGTTTCTTCGCCAATACAGACCTTAGGTGCTATAGGACTTTGTAGTAATGGGGAAGGAAGGCAGGTTGTGGATGGGTTGCAGAATCCATAGACAACACATTGTGAAGAATCACAGTTACTGTAAGTAAGCAACCATTGTTTCTTCTGGGAGTGATTATCTGCATGTATTCCACTTCTGGTGGCTAGCAAGCAGTGACCTCATAATCAGGAGGTGGGTGCTAGAAGTCCTATTTAAATAATGATTGCAGGGCAGTTCTGCCAAAACAGGAATCAGATCTTCAGGCCTCAACTAAGGAATAATGTGGGATGAAGGAGTGGACTGATCCCCCATATGGCTTCCCTGCAAAGTTCTGGAATTGGTATGCTTTTCAGAGAAGCTCCACAAGCTGCTTAAGCCCTGGTGAAGTGGGCTATAACTTGCATGGGTGGATCTAAGGATGATCACAAACCTCACCACCTTCTGCTCCAAGTGCGAAGCATATTTCTTTAACCTTTTCCCTCTAACGTAAATACATAACATGTATATTT